CCATTATTGGGGTCGGATGTTTGGTAATTTTGGTTTTAGTTTTATTTTACTTGGTGACTTCTTTTAGGTTTAATAGATTTGAAGCTTTTAGATAAATGCTAGCCTAAGGTATCAAGATCCCATCTCCCAGACAAAAGATATGTGTCACTAGTCTTATAGATTACCTTACTTATTTACTTTGGAGATTTAACGTGTGCTTTCCGACTGATGCGTATTTCGCACACGGATCTGGCCAGGCCATTTAATGTGTTTCCGAAAGGGGCGAAAGTGGTGTGAGCAACCCAAGAGGGGGCTTTAGGGGTTGCTTATATAGAATTTGGGAATTTTGAGATTTGGAATAGATGCCGATGGGGTTGGGGAGGAGAACTAAGGGAGCTGGGTATGGTGGATGTTTGTTTGTTTATGTGATTTTGATTTGGTAGGTTATTGTGTTTTTAGATGCGTTTTATTAGTTCCGTTTTGATTAAGAATACGCCTAAGGCCTTGAAGTTTTCTAGTTTATTTTGTGGGTTGAGTATTGCTTCCAGAGTGAGAGCCTTGTTTAGATTCAGGGTGGTTTGTAATGCGGTTTGATGTGTTAGGTAGTGTGTGCAGTGGATGAGTGAGTGTTCTGGGGTTTCTGGTTGTTTGCAGTGTGGGCAGTTACCTGTAGTGTGTTTTTTTTTAAAAATTTAGGTGGTTATTTAGGTTGGTGTGTCCTGTTTGGAGTTTAGTGATTACTCTGTCGAATTCTTTTTGATGGATGGAGAATTTTTGGTTTGGTTAGTGGTTTGCTGAGTACTTTTTTGATTTGGCTATTTGAGTTTAGATATAGGTTATGCCATTTTTTGGTGATTTTTTGCTTGTTTACCCTTTTAATTTCTGATTTTGAGATGGGTAAGTTTAAGCTTATTTCTGGGATTTTGAGGGATAGTTTAGCTGCTTTATCGGCGTTTTCATTACCGTATATTCCTACGTGGGCGGGGATCCATAAGAATGTTATTTGTTTGCCTGCCTTAGTTAAATCGTTGGAGCTTTTAAGTATTTGATTTATTAATTTAGGTCGGTTTTTGGTATTTTTGTTTTGGAGGGCTTGCAGTCCACTGAGCGAGTAGGTAAGTATTAGGATATGTCTACATAGTCTTATAGATTACCTTGAACTATATTATTTAAGTAAATCTGTCATCACCTATATTAGAATAACATTCAGCAATTACTTCAATTTAGACTCACCCATACAAGCTCGTCTATAGTGCATTAAGGAGTAGCCCCAATACAAGCTCGTCTATAGTGACACCATAATCTCTTTCAAAGCATCCAGTAAATATGTCAACAAGATTAGTGCCAGTCCAACACGATTAACAGGATTGAGTATTCCCCTCTGTCTAGCCATTCATTAACCATAAGGCACAGCCCATCGTGTATCAACCAATCATATTCCTTTTTATTGTTCTAATTTTTGTTAAATACATACAGAAGCAAAATGTTAGTCAAAAGGTTTGACGCTCATACCAAGCAGATCTCTCTCTCACAGCCCAGAGGGTTGTACCGACTCTCTGTGGCACCCTCAGCTATTTTCTAAGTACATGTAATTGTAAATTGTTCATTGTTAATTGTTCTTGTAAATAAAATTGTGATTAGTCTCCTGTGACTCCGGCTCTTTGCTGACTAATTCCCCCAAGAAAACCAGCACGCCATTTGGAAGGTTTTGTTCATCCGAACAGAACCATAAACATACCATAATAAAACCTACACATTGAAACACTTACTTTTGAGACATATCCACTGTGCAAGATAACAGTGATTAATCAATCAACGTATTCTCTGTTGATCCTTTGATGGCTAGGAATCATCCGTTGATTTATAAAAAAGTAAATCAACTCATCATATCTCTTGCTGGGCTGCCACATGCATATTACATAACACACATTTCACCTCACTTCAAACCTGGATTTAGATTGAATATTTACCGCAGACACAAGAAAGGCCAAATGGAAACCTTTATCAGGTAATCTGAGTGGTGCTACCACTAATTATACCTGTAATAAATTCATTAACTGAGCATCAAGTGAATTATGACAAATACACAGGTGTAGGGTTATACCAGAAAACATGGATGAAAACAAGGGAGTAGCAATCGTATTATCCAAGCAATCTAAAATCCAAAAATGCTTTTACTGCAGGGATTTTTAAACTATAACTATCGGGGTATTTCCAAATAACGACATCTGATGAGCTTCCGCTGTTCTTTTTGTCTTTTTGTTTAGGCTGAAGAAATTAATTAACATGCACCCTTTGATTCATCGTCTACTGTTTCCGGGTCACAGGAGCATGCGAGGTCAAGCAGATTAAATAATACGCCAATCATATCATCAAAGTTAAATTGTAATTTCATTTTAGTGGTGATGACTGATACTATGTATTGATTTGTGTATAGTCTTGTCATATTATTATTATTTGCACCTACTGAAATATTGCTATCGGAATTCATGATCTTTATTTTCGTTTTTCTCTTGTCATATGAAACGGAAAATGACAAATGAAACATTCTTGTATTGAGAAGATCGTCAACTTTCACCAAGGCATATATATGAAGGGAAAGTAAACTTTGTCGATATTAAAATGGCAACAAGTATTTGTCACAGAGTGACGAAATATCCCCCGCCTGTACACCATAGTACCAAATATGAAGACAATCCAGCGATTAGTTCTTGAGATATTGTGGCAACACCGTTTTCCAACTCCAAAAACAGATTTGCCTGCTGTGACCTTGAAAATGGGGTCAAGGTCACCAAATCTGACAGGTGTATGCGGTGTCTGTATATACACTATAGTTCCAAATATGAAGACAATCCAGCGATTAGTTCTTGAGATATCGCGGGAACACCGTTTTCTAACTCCAAAAGCAGATTTGCCTGCTGTGACCTTGACAATGGGGTCAAGGTCACCAAAACCGACTGGTGTATGCGGTGTCTGTATATACACCATAGTTCCAAATATGAAGACAATCCAGTGTTTAGTTCTTGAGATATCGCGGCAACACCGTTTTCTAACTCCAAAAGCAGATTTGCCTGCTGTGACCTTGACAATGGGGTCAAGGTCACCAAAACCGACTGGTGTCTGCGGTGTATGTATATACACCATAGTTCCAAATATGAAGACAATCCAGTGTTTAGTTCTTGAGATATCGCGGCAACACCGTTTTCTAACTCCAAAAGCAGATTTGCCTGCTGTGACCTTGAAAATGGGATCAAGGTCACCAAAACCGACTGGTGTCTGCGGAGTCTGTATATACACCATAGTTCCAAATATGAAGACAATCCAGTGTTTAGTTCTTGAGATATCGCGGCAACACCGTTTTCCAACTCTAAAAGCAGATTTGTCTGCTGTGACCTTGAAAATGGGATCAAGGTCACCAAAACCGACTGGTGTCTGCGGAGTCTGTATATACACCATAGTTCCAAATATGAAGACAATCCAGTGTTTAGTTCTTGAGATATCGCGGCAACACCGTTTTCCAACTCCAAAAGCAGATATGCCTGCTGTGACCTTGAAAATGGGGTCAAGGTCACCAAAACCGACTGGTGTCTGCGGAGTCTGTATATACACCATAGTTCCAAATATGAAGACAATCCAGTGTTTAGTTCTTGAGATATCGCGGCAACAAACAGGTGGGACGTACGGACGGACGTACGTACGGACGGTCGTGAATACTATATCCCCCGCTTCGCGCTTTCGCGCGGCGGGGGATAATAAGATCATGCTGAGGTCAGGCGAAGTAGCCTTGTTTGATTTTCGTATCTCTGCTTCGTATATCATAAATATTCAACCAAACAACTTCAAATAAGGATTGGTGAATATTTATGTCATTAATTGTTTCCTGCAAATTTTATAATATGACACGTTAGATTAACCCGAATATTTGTATTTCTGCAACTGACATGATGATCTTGAAAATTAAGGGTTTTTTCTGTTTAACTTTTGGTTAATAAATTTCCTGAAATGGTTTATAATTTACCATCAGCAAATAATCAAATTTATTCTTAGTTAAAATTTAGAGGTCAGAGACATGATAATTGAAAACAATTTGCTCAAATTTAATGAGTTAAAAATTTTGGTTCATAGCATGAAACACAAACCACCTTCAATAAATTTACAAATTTTGTGTTTGCTTTGGTCTAAGGAAAAATCTTTATATAGTAATGTGTAGTTTTCTATCAGGAATAAATGTGCAAAATATTTCTTCAATTGGCTCTTGTTTAATGAAGCACTTGACTGTTTGAAATTGTTCACCCTCTTTACAGCGCCTTATGCTAAAACAATTAAGCAGGCTAAAGGTTAAACGTTGTTGTTTTTGCACTATTTAGAGGGTTGTCAGAGGGTTAGAAATATGGATCAACTACAGTGTTTAGATATCTGCCTTTTGTTGTTAATGTAAGGATGTGAATGGCTTTGGCAGTTTTAAGGTTAAAAAAAAATATTTGAAAAGAGAGTAGGCCTGGTAATGACAACATTCATATGGCACATAGATTCTGAAACCACAAGTGACATCGTCTTTCCAGAAATGTTTATGTGGCATTTCCCCCAACATTTCAAAGGTTGAGTGGTGCGCATTATATTGCAGTACTTTTCCTTGTTAATAGTTCCATTAATGACTTATTTTATCCATTTTGGTCTCCGTCTAGGACCCTGCAAAGTCTGAGGACTATAGTGAAAAAAGATTTCCCCTTGTTGTCTGGACCAGTCTTAAACAAACAACTCTTTAAAACATTTCTGAGGCTGTATCAACATATTTATCCCTAAATGACTTGCAAATTTCATCCTTCTATCCACACCAGTTTCTGAAAAAGCTTGTCCCACTGAAATCAAAGAGACAGCTGGAAAGATGAACAGTTCAAAATGCGGGTGGGGGATAAAACGAGCAGTGAAACTGATGTGACACATTGTAACATTGCCATGACACTACACTATTTGCTGTGCAAATTCATATCCATTTAAGATAAGCATGATGCAATCATTACCCCAAGGAGTTCCCATTCCGTCGACGAATAACCACAGTTTCTCTAGCATTAGGAAACAGTTGATAGAGATCCTTGTCTGTAAAAGACTTCCCTAAGCCTGTGACAAAGAGGCGTTTCATATCCTGTGGTCCACCTACAAATTGATGAAAACAGATTCATGAGGCTGTGCAGATACTCATGAAAGTTTGTGTGATCTAATTGAAACAAATATCATGGATCTGAACTTAATACAGATGTGGTTTAGGAACAATTATTTATAATTCTGTCATGGTTGGAGGTGTGTTCCAAGTTGCCGCTAATCAGATAACAGACCACAGATAATAGCAACAACAATCCCACAAAAGAATAATATACTGCACAGTGCACATGATGTCATAATGGGGCAAAATAGATTCATATCCATGAGAGATCATAGTTCTGATGTTGAGAATGTGATCTGATATAATGTGAAAAACACTTTTGTTGCAAGTAAAACAGCTATGTTCATTTCAAAGAGTGAGGGCCAAAGTGTACCAATATCAGAGCTTGTGACGATGTTCATACAATGTTTGGCCATTACTCTACTCCAATTAAATCTCACAAAGTGAAAGTCAATTCTTATAATTTTTATATCACTATTTTTAGCTCAAAGGACATAGACCTTGATCTATACACAATTATATTTAGTATGTGTGACATCATGTTTACACTGACAGCATACAACCAGCTGTATCACGGCATAAAATAGTTCCTCAAAATGAGAGGTGACATGAGCTTACGTATGTTTGACAGCATCAACTTTTGTATTTTCTGTAAACAAATGTACTCAAATAATATCATTAGATGGGAAAGGTCTGTTAAGTACTACCTCAGTAAGTCAGTCACAATGACAGCTCGTCAATACATTTACATCGAGTCCAAGACGTCAAAATGCATACACGATAAACATGACGGGAGAGATGTCTGAAGGTTTTTAATGAACCTGTGGCTATTACAAGTGTTAGTCATCACGGATCAATTGGCCTATCACTGAAAGGTGATTGCAGAGATGTGTTAATAGATACTTATGTACATTCATATATTGTTGTTGAACATCACTGTAGTCTAGACACGGACTGAGCTGATACTACTGTAGTTTGAATGAGTTTTTCTTCGTTTTGTTCTCTAAGATGGGTTGTACCGATGATATCCTTGAACATGCAATCAAACTCTCAGACTTATCCCAAATTATGCTAAAACGCTAAGTTCAAGATAAAAGGCTCTAAACAATGAGAAACAATGCTTCTGTATTTATTCATGCTAGGGAATTCCCAGGAGTTCTCCCAAGAACATGGAAGTAGTCCGGCAGTATTTACGTCATTTCAAGAACAAGGTCTTGTTAAAAACGGATGAAGATCAATATCGCGGTCATGTGACCGACCTCTCGTCCAATGGAAAAGCTGTATATCGTGTAAACTTCAAATTAAAAATTACATACTTTTGAAAGTAAAAGTAAACATATAACATCTGAATGAAGTGAATGCATCACCAAGGAGGCTGTTCTAGATGCTGTAAATCAAGAAATTAACGCGAGAGTGAAATAGATGCCTAAAATATGAGTGATCTTTGCTCGATTAATTACACTTTGCATTTATCTCTAAAAAAAAAAGACTGTTGACCAGAGGCCTCACTTTGAAAAAGCAGAAATAGCAACTTAAAGACAAACAACTGTCTATTCCACATCACGGTTTATTAAGCAGCAGTAACAGCTAACACCAGATATTGCATAATGGACATTCAGTGAGTTATCATTGCTTTGGTCAAGAGTTCTACTCACTCATGTCAAACCAGGCCTGCGTTCAATAGGCCAAAGAGATTTCTAAGTGCTTTCTTAGCTCTCTGCGGATGTTCACGTGCTATTGAACGATGTGTCAACTTCCACTGGCAGTGGGGGTGGTTTTCAAAATGGCACAGCAGACTCATTTTAGATATATATTGTTGAACATTGTGTTTGTAAAGTATTAGGCTAAAAAAAATATAATAGTCTTGCTTCTCAGGCACCCTACAACATCATTAAATCTCCCGAATGTTTTGTATTTATTTCCATTTTAAAAAAAATTAAAAAATCCTAATACTTAAAAACATGTGTGATCCAATATAACCCACAGATGATTCTCTTTAAAGGTGCCCTGATTTACTGCACATTTCGTGTTATGATCATGGCGGCAATAGGAGTTTGTATGCTTGTTTATGTAGGGAAGCCCTTACCCAGGTTAACTGTTTATATGGTTACATACTTGTTTGAACAAGTTAAAAATTAGAAGAAAACACCACCTGCACACACTATATTTTCAAAAGTCACTGCCTGAGAACCAATTCTTTTCTTTTTTTAAGCCTTAATGTTTATAATAAAGATATGATAAACTTACCGTTAGTTAGACAGTCAACAAAACTCAATTTTATGGCATTATTATGATACAAGTTGGACTCAACTCATGTAATCCTTCATTCTTATATAAGTATATTACATAAGCATTTACCAAAATACTGGGGTAAATAAAATAAAGTTGGATTGGAACATCAGGTGAATAAGGACTTTATTAAACAAATGTTATATTATGGATAAAACTTTCTGAGTAAAGTACAGATTCTTTTGGGGGTTGAGTCCTGTCCGGGATTCGAACCCACACTGCCAGAGTAAGGCACCAGCACACAAAGTCAGCGATCTAACAAAATGAAAGTCCGACAGAGCCTCACACTACATCTAGTAAGACATATAGAGGATATTATACATTATATGAGTGTTCATGTCATACTATGTTTACGACACTCATTTAATGTTTTATTTATTACCAAAGATGTCTACATACAGAGACGAATTTTAGTGTTGCAAGTTAAAAAAGCAACGGAACAAAAATTTGTTGAATGATGTCAACAATCTTCAGCTATGCCGTCGTTTCTAGTTTGACGTCATTCCGACCTCAAGTCACAATAAGATTCGAATGATGCCAACAATGCCGTCCGGATGACTGAAACAATACACTGTTGTCCTGTGACGTGATATGACCCTAGGGCACATCCGATTTATATGAACCCTAATATGCTTGCCTCGTAGGTAATAAATCACGATATGAAAACGGCATGACAAATGTCTCATAAATCACATAAAAATAATTTATTCCCCCTAGGGTTAGAAATAACCGAGTAAAGAAAAATTGTATGTGCACTGGTGCAATGTTGTTCACGTGCACTAGTGTATTGTTTGCGTCATCTGGACGGCACTGTTGGCATCATACCAATCTTATACTGACACTAGAAATAATGTCATAGCTTAAGACTGTTGACATTATTCAACAATTGTGGTTTTCTAAGACGCCTGTCGTAATCAGTGCATTTCTCTAAAGAAAAGCTCAAATGTATTAAGAAGTTATAGGTAACAAAGAAGTTATTACATTCGCATGTTTGACATACTGATTTTACGAAACTTGTGTAAGAATTCATGTATTACCCTTGCTCTTTTCCAGGGGTGGGGGGTGGGGGGGTGTTTGTTTGTTTAGTCAACAACTTGGGGATTCCTAGTTATGATTATTGGCCAAAAGTCATCTATGCATGCATGTTGTAAGTCAACTAAATGGATCACTGTACCCAGACGGCCATTCGACACACTACTCATCCCTTTCCGTAACCTGCTTGTCCCAGAATAACAAGATTTGATCATGTATGCCCTGACGGCATGGGACGTTGCCCATATCAACCACTGGTTAAGTTGTCAGGGCCAAAATTGATTACATGTATTTACAGGCCTCCCTGACATTGCTGGAATATTGTAGACTGCAGTAAAACACAACAAATAAACAAACAAATCGCAATGTTTTAGATTCATTTAAGAAACACCTATCGAAATGAATTTACGTTTTCTTTGAGTTTCGACAATGAAGGTTTATATCGCATAATAATATATGTCAAATGTTTACAAAAAGAAAACATATGAAATATCATATGAGTGTTATAGGGACAAAACTGCAACTTCAAACCAAATTTTATAATACATGTATCTTGTTTACAAACAGATGCATGAAAAGGATTTTTTCTGTACAGAATTTAACATGGGTTCAGAGGAAAACTACCCCATGTTGTGAGGGGTTTCTGAATGCAGCTAAAACAATTGGGTTTTACTAGTTTTAGCAAGTGACAGGTCTTCCAATAAATCTAATCACTAATGTGGTGGTATTAAACTTCACTATTAAGTTTGTTTGTTTGTTGTTTTCCGCCGCACTCAGCAATATGACGGCGGTCTGTAAATAATCGAGTCTGGATCAGACAATCCAGTGATTGATATCATGAGCATTGATCCACGTAATTGGGATCAATGACATGCATCATCCAAGTCAGCAAGCCTGACCACTCGATCCCGTTAGTTGCCTTTTACAGCAAGCATGGGTTACTGAAGACCTATTCTACACAGGATCTTCACGGGTCTCACTGTTAAGTGCATATATGTCTTATAAGTTCTTCCATGTAAAAAATGTAATGACCTATGGACATTCACCAACAAGTCAATTGGCTGTAACTTGCCAATACACCTAGCTGGGAAAAAATCTCACTTCGCAATCACATTTTCTCAGTTGTTCAAGGAAGGACTGGCATCTATGGGCTATCGCGAGAGATTTCTGTTCTGATTCTCCAGTGATTGGATGAATGGGTCACATGCCAGTCGTCAGGGAAGTAGTACTTGGCATGGGACAGCATTTTTGGTAAGTCCTTGGCCGATCACTTGGCTAGGGAGGGCAAGTTTGTGGAGAGGAAGTAGAGGTATTCCTCCAAACATGTAGATTTACTTGAAATGGTAAGCCTTGTAATAAACTAGTGAGTGAGTGAGTATGGTTTTAGCCCCTTTTAGCATTTTTCCAGCAATATCCAGGCAGGGGACACCAGAAATGGGCTTCACACGTTGTACCCATGTTAGAGAATCGAACCCAGGTCTTTGGCCTGACAAGCGAACGCTCTAACCACATGTGTGTATGCTGTTATCCACTGCCAGACGATTATCAGTAGGCAGCCACAAGTCAAGTTCCTCCTGTGCAAACCATGGAATGTTAGCATGATATCGCCTCGAATCCTGAGGGATTGGATGGATGAAAGAGCATGGGTTTACCAGGTACAACACAAGTATAG